TGGTGTCTGAAGTTACTAGCTTTAGCACTGGAGTTATGAGGCTAATTTAACTTGTTAGCTACATTAGCTTTATAGCTCCGGTTCTAGGCTTGGCTTATAAGATATGTACATTTATTTTCTGCTGTATAAAGGAGCATTCAGACCCCTTTTAAACTCTCTCACGCACACGTTTCATTGTTGTTTGTGAAGCACTGGGACTGAAAACTGTGTTAACCTGGTGTGTTTGCACATAAACACATCTCACAAGGTAGCTTTGTTGTTGAATACCGTGGTGAGTTAATCACCAGCAGAGAACCCCAACAAAGGAGAAGGATGTACAGCAGTGAGCAGTCAGTGTACATGTTTGATTTTAAGTAGAAGGAGAGAACATGGATGTAAACAGTCTGACTAAATTTGAATTTTTTTATTTGCTTAAACTATAAAATATAAATGTCTATTCTAGACTAACAGAGTAAACAGTGACTCAGCAAGAAGTTTGTAGATTTTGTTCCACAATAGTGTTCTCCTTGTTCTGTAGTCATTTGACCTCACAGCTGTGGTCTTGGGCAGGACGTTATATAATTATTAGCGTAGTAATGCTATACTCTATTCTCATATACATGTCAGAACCAGTTTACATGCTAAATGTAATTCGAATGCTACCAAATCCGCCCAATGACAGCTAGGATAGGCTCCAGCACCCCACCGTGACCCAGAAGGATAGGTGGTTTAGATGATGTGTGTGTGTGCTACCAAATCTGATTGGTCAAGTCACATTCTTATACTCTTATTCTGTCTTCTTTTTCTTTTTGTTTGTTTTAATGGTGTCCAGAATTGATGCTGCAAAGGAGGATGGGTCTTTAAGAAGACTGGTCAGTAATGACCATATAAAGCCAAACTGCAAGATGACAAAAATATGTGCAGATGGATCTCCACACCTGTGTCTGTGATTCATGACATCCAATCAGGTGATGAAATCAAGTATGATTATGGAGAAAGTGTCTGGATCTGGAGAACTCAGGTTTATAAAATAAAGGTATTTATCCTCAAATTACTGCCAAAGGCATTTTTGAGCTTTAAATCATGAATGTAATCTTTAGCGTTGCAAATTAGTGATATGATTAAGTTGAATGGAAATGTTTAGCCACACAAAATGTGCATAAATGTCTTAGATTAAACAATTGAGTGTAGTGTTTTTAGAAATGCATATTTAAGAACTACAATTTGATACTTTTAACTCGTTGATATGCATATTCCAGCACATTATGTAAATTATTTTATAATGAAGATTTTGATAATTCTTAGGTTTGGTTATTTCATCTGTAATGTGTAAAATCTCAGTTTTATTTTAATAAAAAATATCTTATAAATGTTTCTACAGGTAATGAATGAAATCACTTCTACTGTGGCAGCTATATTAGGTGGCAGTCCAGCATTCAGCTGTGACCAAGCAGGGAAGAAACAGGCACTGAAAGCCACTGAAGTGGTAAGTTGGTCATTCATTCTCTATTTTAAAATAAGCTCTAAATTTTTCAGTAACATTATTTTTATTAGAAATCAGTGATCCATTATATACTAAGGGCAAGGAAATGCAAGAAATGTTTGATATGAGCTTTGCGTTCAGTCAGTAATTGACGACTGAAATGATGGATTAGGTGTTTTCAAACCTTTTAGATAAAACAGCAAATCATCTTCATTAAGACCTTAACAAATCTTTCTGACATTGACAATGTTAGTACTTGTTGAGAAGCATTTCTAACTTTGCCCCAGTAAAGAATAGACAGCCAGTGTAAAGACATCCTGATTTAGTCCACTGGGGTTTGTATATGACTTTAACTATTGTACCTTTAGAAATAGCTGTAGGGAAGTTGTGTCCTACATTTTGGAACAGGAATAGTGTTACTAAGGGAGCTACAGGTTCAGCTAATTACAGGGAATTACAGGGATTTCAGTCATTCCTTAACTGTTACTGTAAAGCTCTACAACTACACATACTGCAGATTCATACGGGATTAAAATCACTCCACAATTATAAATGTCAGACTGTAAAACTACACACACTGCAGATTCATACTGGATTAAAATCACTCCACAATTATTACCATCCGACTGTAAAACTACACACACTGCAGGTTCATGTGTTGTGGCCTTTACGCTAAATACTTTTGTGTTGTGAACCCTTTCAGTTTCAGTATTTTAGTTTTAATTGCAAAAATAAATATTTACACCAAAGTTAGTGTTTAGTTATTATTCTTTTTTATGAAGAAAGTGATTAGATGTAATTTGACAAAGCTAATTTTATAAAAGGGGCATATTACTAAGAATAATTTATGAAATGTTTCCATAGGTAATGAAATAAATAGTCCTATTGTGGCAAATGTATCAGAAAGTAGCCCATCTTTTAAGTCCAGTCCTAGTCCACAAAGACGAGTTCTGCAAAGTACTTAAGAGGTAAGCTGCAATCTTGTCTTTTCTAGAAATTTGTGAAACAGTTTGAAGAGGTCTAGATTTTTGTTGTGAACAGCTTGTGTTTGGCTTTTGCCTTAATTCCCCAGCTGCTGCTGGAGTTTTTAAACACCTCAGTGTCACTGCTGGACTGAGAATAGTCCACCAACCAAAAATATCCAGCCGGCAGTGTCCTGTGACCACTGATGAAGGACAAGAGGATGACCAACACAAACTGTGCAGCAACAGATGAACTATCATTTCTGACCTTACATCTACAAGGTAGGAGTGTCTAATAGAGTGGACAGTGAGTGGACACAGTGTTTAAAAGCTCCAGCAGCACTGCTGTGTCTGACCCACTCTGACCAGCACAACACACACTAACACAACACCACCCCGTCAGTGTTACTGCAGTGCTGAGAATGATCCACCACCCAAATAGTACCTGCTTTTTGAGGGTCCTGTGGGGGTCCTGACCATTGAAGAACCAGGTAATTCTAGAAAAGTCTGTAATCAGTCTTACCATATACTACAGAGTGCACCTATACGGTAAGATGAGCTGATAAAATGGACAGTGAGTGTAGATACAAGGAGGTGATCATAATTAAGTGGTCAGTCAGTGTACATGTAGTGTAAGATATAAGAAAATACAAGTTTAAGCCAATTTAAAGGACAAAAAGTCTGTGAAACAGTAGATGAGCCAACATTGGAGTCAGGCAGTGCAGCATTATTTGAAGATGAGGTTGAGGGTGTAGGAGTGTTATAGAGGAATTGATGATGTCATTGTGTGTCATTGATGTGAGTGTGTGTATGTTTGTGTGCTTGAATACACTAAAACATACACTGTAATACACTGAAACACTTGCACATAATCACACACTACCTGGACACGCTTGTGAGACACTTGCACACTCTACTGAAACACACACACCACTGAAACACACACACACCACTGAAACACACATACACACCACTGAAACACACACATATACATTACTGAAACACACACCACTGAAACACATACACCACTGAAACACACACCACTGAAACACACATACACATCACTGAAACACATACACACCACTGAAACACACACACCACTGAAACACATACACACCTCTGAAACACGCACACTACTGAAACATAAACACACCGCTGAAACACCCACACCACTGAAACACACACACATCACTGAAACACATACACACCTCTGAAACACACACGCTCCTGAAACACGCACACATCACTGAAGCACACAAACACACCACTGAAACACACACACCACTGAAACACACACACCACTGAAACATAAACACACCTCTGAAACACGCACACATCACTGGAACACCCACACCACTGAAACACCCACACACCACTAAAACATACACACCACGGAAACATATACACACCTCTGAAACACACACACATCACTGAAACACACACACCACTGAAACACCCACACACCACTGAAACATACACACCACTAAAACATATACACACACCTCTGAAACACACGCTTTCTGCTCAGGGGTCGCATCTCCTTGCAGACTGAAGGGAGCCATCTTCCACTGACAGTCAGAAACTCTATGACCCCCTCTTTCATTTTGGAATGTGATTGATTCCTGTAGGCACCTCATGGTGGTAAAAATATGGTGCTTTGAAATCGGATGAATCTTTTTGAATCACCCCGTACTGTCTGGGTTTGATTTCATCCAGAGATACTGTTAAAATACATAAACAACCAAACACAACACACAAGACTAGTACTGAATATTGATGAAAATTTGTATTGCTCTTCACATTGTAACATCAGTCAGTGAACTTAAAGTTGAGGTGAGTTTCACTAACTGTGTGTTATTTCTAATTTCAGTGTGTAAGCTGAAAAAAAACTAATCAGCTTTTCAGTATTGTTGGCAATAGAGAGGATGTTTTCGTTTTTTTCTACTGCATCCTACAGTGTGTAGAACCATACAAGAACCATAGATACTTCTAGACAGATTCTTCACTGAACCGGAAGACCACACAAAGCCATTCATTCCTTCATAACTGTAGTTCAGTGTGGAGAAGAGCCTGCAGTGAGATAACGTACAACTCCACTGGAGTCATTATGTCAGCATCTAATTCTGCTTTTACAACAGTTTAAAGGCTAAAGACAGCATCAGAACCATGGGCCACCAGGACTTGTTGTTGGGACTATGAGAGTATTCCCAACAACAAATCCTGGTGGCTCATTGTTCTGATGAATTTTCATACAGGATGAATTATCCTATTTTTTTCCAGAAATCATTTTCTTTGTGCTGCTGAGCATGCTCTTATTTTGTGAAACTCTATCTTCCTGTTACAGTGAAATGACTTCCAGGCATGCTAAAAACTCTCATGCACACACCAGTGACTGCAGCCTCTGTACAATCATCCACACACACACACACATACACACTTGTTTCATAGGTGTGTGTATGTGCAAGTATTTCAGTGGCATGTGCAATTGTTTCAGTAGTGTGAGCGTGTGCAAGTGTTTTAGTGTATTTTACCCAAAATGGCCCCACATATTGTTAGTGTTGTGTGTTTGTACTTACATTTCTTTGGTCTGATTCTCATCTCACCCTCATGTTCCACTCTAAAGAATACAAACACAGATCAGTGAGAGATGTTTAGTGCAAAACTATTTCTCTCACTCTCTGTATGTGTGTATATATACATCTTTGTTTCTTCCTTTGCCACTTTCTGTCTTACTCTCTGTCTTTTTCTCTCTCTCCATGCTGTTCTCCTTGGTTACTCACAGTAAATTTTTAAAATTCAGTTTCTCTTTCTTTTTGTCTCTCTCACAAACACACTCTCACACACACACACACACACACACACACACACACACACCTGTGAACACAGCTGTTCATACCTGAGTGTTTTGAGTGAGCAGTGTGGATCCTCCTGTCTAGCAGAGAGCAGCTTCACGCCTGACCTTCCTGGGAGATTATAGCTCAGATCCAGTTCTTTCAGGTGTGAGGGGTTTGAACTCAGAGCTGAAGCCAGAGAAGAACAGCCTTCCTCTCTGACCATACATCCTGATAATCTGCAGAGTGCAGAAAAAGACAAACAGACTGAGAGAGAGAATGCACAGAACTTAGTAGACGTTTGAATAAATAAAAATGTAAAAGATGGAAATAAAAAGTAATATTTCTTAAAGATGACACATTTCTTTACTATTTTAACTTTATGTCTTTTAGAAATCAGGTCATCTAATACTCAATTAGCTAAGCTTTTCACAGTAACAGAAATTTTGACCAGGGATCCCCAGTCTTTTGCTTGCCACTGTAATAGCAAAGTAGAGTCATTTTAATATGCTCATTTTGTATCAGTTCAAGCTTTATTCCTGTTACAGCCTAAAGAAGATTACTAAGAATATTTTTAATGTTTACCTCTTGTTAATAAAAATGCACTTGATTTAAAAATCTGTACACTCAGGGAGTGTTTTAGTGTTCCTCACAGCTCTGTTATCCATGTGATCTTTAGCTGTTTCTACGTTTCACACTTTTTGCTGTTCAGCCTATTGTTTCCGCATGGGTTGAGTTAAATTCATTGGGTTTGTTATTATTGTACGTGAGAAGTTAATGACTGTTGACCATGTCAAGTCAACTTTAGTGGATTTGCTACTGATGGAGGCTGAAAGATGATTCAGTGATAAATAATCAGTGAGTAGGTTTCCAGTGAGTGATGTTAGTTCTCCTTGATTGCCAGTTCATCAGAATTGTTGTTTTGGTGATTGTTAGCACTTCAACAATTATTCTGCTGTTTCCTTGATGATATTTCTGTTGGTATGTCTCAGAATAGAGTGATGGGAGTAGTAAGATGGGCTGATTCAATGGTGCAATTAATTAAACAAACATTTGTTGGCAAAAGTGTTTGATTGGTGTGCAGCACCATATCACACGAGTTTAACTGTCAGGAGTGTCTAATGAGCAATGAGAGAAGATTTAGATCCTATGAATCCCATTTTATTATTTTTTTTCCAGTGCAGTGCATACTGTGAATAATTTTATACTATATTAGGTACAGGCTGGTGCTATTAGACATATCAAGTATTAGCAGTGGGAGTAATTAAGAGATCTTCTTCCCACTTCCTAGACTGTATGTATGTTGTTTAGTCTGATTTGGATGCTAAATAATACATTTTGGACAAAGGTTTATTCATAGAGGATACTTACTCCTTCTAAATTAAATTTGGTTATGCTTGACTTTTTAATTGTATGCTATTTTTTTAAAGTAATTATATCTTTAATGTCAAATCTTATTAGGCCCCACTATGGGCACTGCTAGGTAATTTAGCGCCCCCTTCCCAAACAAATGTATGTTATTATTTCAAATCATCTACAGTTTATTCTCATTTGCAATATCCTGTGATAGCAAGGCATGACCTGGGGGAGGCGCTGCTGCTGCTCTTTTGCAGTGCTGCCTCTGCTGTGCTACCAGCAATTGACTAACATTATTTAAAACGTGGAAACCCTGGCTTGTCCAATCACATCAGACCTCCTATGTTTTAAGCCAATCATATCAGACCCTGTAAGATCAAAAATCACTAAAATAAACATTGGAACTTGTTCAAAATCTATAATATACAGAGTGAAACAGTCAGCAGTGCAAGAGCAAATCTATCCACCCACAATATGGATGTGTGGTAAATTATGGTCAGTATAGCTGGCTGTCAGGTTTTTGCTCAGTTGCTTGTTAGCTAATGCTAGCTAATTTAGAGTTTAAATGATGCAAAGAAAAAATGGTTAGGTTAACACTTACATTGACAAAGTTGACAAACCAAATATTTTAACTCCACTTCATAGTGAAGTTAGAGTGTGAACAAGCAAGAGAGATAGAAATAAGATAACTTTTTATATTCTTTGCTTTGTATTTCTCTTCAGTATTTGGAATAAATGACTCCCAAATTTGTTATATATTGTTGTTTATAATAAGTTAATGTCAATGAAATGGCCATAGTGTTGATCATAACACAATTTTATATCCCTAAATTTCTTAATCTGTAGATGGAAATTGAGAGGCAGCAACTCTGTTGCAGGCCAGTAAGCTGGGATTTTTTTTTACCAGTTAAAACAAATATTAAAATAAAAAAAACTTAATTGATTGATCTCTCAAAATAGTCCCTAAAGATTGTTTAACTACTACTTTACTATTAAAACTACATTTAGACATTGTTACCCTCACCACTGCTATGAAGAAAAAATAAGTTTTGCTAGAATGGTGGATTTCACATTGAACGACATCTCATCAAATGAATAAAGAAGAAACTTAGAAATATCAGAGAAATCTCCCTTAAATACATTCAAACCCACATGTTGTTGTTGATATAAGCAAATAGCATCAAGCTTTAACATTTCATTCCAAAATGAAGAGAAAGCTGACCTGAGTGTCTCCAGTTTGCAGTGTAAACTCTTCAGTCCAGCAGACAGCAGCTCCACTCCTGAATCATGAAGCTCATTGTTACTGATGTCCAGCTCTTTTAGGGAGGAGGTTTCTGTTTGTAAAACTGATCCCAGATTTTCACAAGACTTTCCCCCAAAATGACACAAAGCTAGTCTGCAACAAGAGAGCATTACAAATCTTTTATTATGTGATTTTCTAATGACAGCTACAACTTTCAAATATTTTTATATTACTATGAAACAGAGATACAGTAGTATTCAAAAACCACAAATAAATAAATAATGACCCCTCTTTCTCTCTGTCTCTCTCTATGTGTGTGTATATGTGTATATATATATATATAGATAGATAGATAGAGAGATATAGATATAGATAGATAGATAGAGAGAGATATAGAGAGAAGCGGTGAATAGTTAATTCTGTTTGACGATATTGAATGTTTTACCTTTTACTCTATGAATGTTTTTTTTCTCTTTTTTGGAAATGTATGTATATATATATATATATATATATATATATATATATATATATATATATATATATATAATTTGAAGAAGCTAGTAAATAGGAAGCCAGTTTCAGCCTCACCAAACTTAAATCTAGAATCAAACAACTAAAATCCGTACTCAGTCTAGGTTTGAAATTTGCAATGAACTTCAGGTTAACTTTAACTTGAGGTCATATGTGCTAGCTGTGCTCTGTCCAATCAGTCATGTGATGCTTCTCCAGTGGTATGTGGGACTATTGCTAACTCAAAATAGTCCCTAAAGATTCTTTAACTACTACTTTATTATTAAAACTACATTTAGACTTTGTTACCCTCACCACTGCTATAAAGAAAAAACAGGTTTTACTAGAATGGTGGATTTCACATTGAACTCTGAATGACATCCCATCAACTGAATAAAGAAGAAATTTAGAAATAACTGTGGAATCCCCCTTAAATACATTTAAACCCACAGGTTGTTGTTGTTGAAATAAGCAAACAACATCAAGCTTTAATATTCCATTCCAAAATGAAGAGAAAGCTGACCTGAGTGTCTCCAGTTTACAGTGTGAACTCTTCAGTCCAGCAGAGAGCAGCTCCACTCCTGAATCGTGAAGCTCATTGTTACTGATGTCCAGCTCTTTTAGGGAGGAGGTTTCTGTTTGTAAAACTGATCCCAGATTTTCACAAGACTTTTCACCAAAATGACACAAAGCTAGTCTGCAACAAGAAAGCATCACAAATCTTTCATTACATGATTTCCAATGACAGCTACAACTTTCAAATATATTACTATGAAACAGAGATACAGTAGTATTCAAAAGCCACAAATAAATAAATAATGACCTCTCTCTCTCTCTCTCTCTCTCTCTATATATATATATATATAGTATCTCACAAAAGTGAGTACACCACTCACATTTCTGCAAATATTTTATAATATCTTTTCATGGGACGACACTATAGAAATGAAACTTGGATATAACTTAGAGTAGTCAGTGTACAACTTGTATAGCAGTATAGATTTACTGTCCTCTGAAAATAACTCAACACACAGCCATTAATGTCTAAATAGCTGCCAACACAAGTGAGTACACCTCACAGTGAACATGTGCAAATTGTGCCCAGTTGTATCGCTGTCCCTCCCTGGTGTCATGTGACTCGTTAGAGTTACAAGGTTCCAGGTGTGAATGGGGAGCAGGGCTGTTAAATTTGGTGTTTTGGGTACAATTCGCTCATACTGGCCACTGGATATTCAACATGGCACCTCATGGCAAAGAACTCTCTGAGGATGTGAGAAATAGAATTGTTGCTCTCCACAAAGATGGCCTAGGCTATAAGAAGATTGCTAACACCCTGCCACTGAGTCATGGTGGCCAAGGTCATACAGTGGTTTTCCAGGACATGTTCCACTCGGAACAGGCCTCGTCAGGGTCGACCAAAGAAGTTGAGTCCACGTGCTCAGTGTCATATCCAGAGGTTGGCTTCAAAAAATAGACGCATGAGTGCTGCCAGCATTGCTGCAGAGGTTGAAGAAGTGAGAGGTCAGGCTGTCAGTGTTCAGACCATACGCCGCACAATGAATTGACTCAGACAAGCAGTCCAAGGACATGGATTACTGGAACCATGTCCTGTGGTCTGTTGAGACCAAGATAAACTCGTTTGGCTCAGATGGTGTCCAGCATGTGTGGCGGCACCCTGGTGAGGAGTACCAAGACAACTGTCTCTTGCCTACGGTCAAGCATGGTGGTGGTATCATCATGGTCTGGAGCTGCATGAGTGCTGCCGGCACTGGAGAGCGGCGGTTCATTGAGGGAAACATGAATTCCAACATGTACTGTGACATTCTGAAGCAGAGCATGATCCCCTCCCTTTGGAAACTGCGCCACATGGCAGTTTTTCAACACGATAACGACCCCAAACACACCTCCAAGATGACAACTGCCTTGCTGAAGGTAAAGGTGATGGACTATGTCTCCAGACCTAAACGCAATTGAGCACCTGTGGGGCATCCTCAAGCGGAAGGTGGAGGAGCGCAAGGTGTTTTACATCCACCAGCTCCGTGATGTCATCATGGAGGAGTGGAAGAGGATTCCAGTAGCAACCTGTGCAGCTCTGGTGAATTCAATGCACAAGATGGTTAAGGAAATGCTAGATAATAATGGTGGTCACACAAAATATTGACACTTTGAGCACAATTTGGACATGTTCATTGTGAGGTGTACTCACTTGTGTTGCCAGCTATTTAGACATTAAAGACTGTGTGTTGAGTTATTTTCAGAGGACAATAAATCTATACTGCTATACAAGTTGTACACTGACTACTTTAAGTTATATCCAAGGTTCATTTCTATAGTGTTGTCCCATGAAAAGATATTATAAAATTATTTGCAGAAATGTGAGGGGTGTACTCACTTTTGTGAGATACTGTGTGTGTATATATATATATATATATATATATATATATATAATATGTAGAGAGAGAGAAGCAAGGATTAGTAAATTTTGTTTGACGATATTGAATGTTTTACCTTTTACTTTATGAATGTTTTTGGGGTTTTTTTCTCTTTTTTTGGAAATATTTTGTCATATTTTGCACTGCATAACGCACCACACATTTTAAATAGGAGACAAGCAGGTCAGTCTAGTGCCTGCACTGATTATGCAACCATGCTTTTGTAATATGTGCAGTATGTGGCTTGGCGTTGTCTTCATGAAATAAGCATGGATGTCCTTGAAAAAGATAGATGCATTTACAAAGCAGCATGTGTTGCTCCTAAATCTGTATATATTTTTCAGCATTAATGGTGCTTTCACAGATATGCAAGTTATCTATGGAATGGACACTAAATCAACTCCATAACTTGACAGACCCTGTCTTTTGAACTTTACACAGGTAACGATCTGGATGGTTCTTTAGTTCTTTGACCCAGAGAACACAGTGTCCATTATTTTCATTAACAATCTGAAAGGCTGACTTGTTGTACCACATCCTTTTGAGATGAGACTGATCCTAGAGAAGTCGGCAGCATGTCTGGATGTTGTTTACTTATAACTTCCACTGTGCAGAGTACAGCCTTAACTTGCATTTGTGGATGCAGCAACGAACAATGACAATGGTGTGCCTTTGTTTTTGCAACTTCCAGTACTGCCATTCATCATCTTTTCATCACCACACAAAATTAAATTAAGCTTAAATTAGCTTCTTATCCACAAAGTTGACATCCCATCAACTGAATAAGGAAGAAATTTAGAAATATCAGTGGAACCTCCCTTAAATACATTCAAACTCACATGTTGTTGGTGATATAAGCAAACAACATCAAGCTTTAATATTCCATTCCAAAATGAAGAGAAAGCGGACCTGAGTGTCTCCAGTTTACAGTGTGAACTCTTCAGTCCAGCAGACAGCAGCTCCACTCCTGAATCATGAAGCTCATTGTTACTGATGTCCAGCTCTTTTAGGGAGGAGGTTTCTGTTTGTAAAACTGATCCCAGATTTTCACAAGACTTTTCCGCAAAATGACACAAAGCTAGTCTGCAACAGAGATACAGTAGTATTCAAAAGCCACAAATAAATAAATAATGACCTCTCTTTCTCTCTGTCTCTCTCTCTCTCTAATATATATGTATGAATATATAATATATATATATATATATATATATATATATATATATATATATATATATATGTATATATATAGTTAGATAGTTAGATAGATATAGATATAGAGAAAAGCGGTGATTAGTTAATTCTTTTTTTGGAAATATATATATATATATGCTTATTACAGACATGATGCCTGTGACACGCCCCAAAAAACAGATATAAAAGCATGTTTATCACTGTGTTACATCGCCTTTTCTTTTAAAAGCACTTAATAAATTTGTTTGAAGACACAGATTGAACCAGTTGTAAAAGTGCAATTTCTTGCCATTTCTCAGGTATACAAGTCTGTACCTGCACAACCATATAGGGCCTTTGTTGTCATATTTTGCACTGCATAACACACCACACATTTTAAATAGGAGATGAGCAGGTCAGCCTAGCACCTGCACTCTGATTATGCAACCATGCTTTTGTAATATGTGCAGTATGTGGCTTGGCGTTGTCTTCATGAAATAAGCATGGATGTCCTTGAAAAAGACAGATGCGTTTACAAAGCAGCACATACAGTTTACAGTTTACTCTATAAACCATCAACTTTACCAAAGCAATCTAGGTCCACGACAAGCTGTAATGTATATTCTGAATCAGTGGCATAACAAAAAGTAACCAAATATATATACCCTGTCACATATGCCATTTGTCTTTGGTGTCCTAAAAGTGTCCGTAGATTTTCTATGCATAGTTGCACTTTGCCTGTCTGATAGCTCAGGACAGGTTTGCTGTGCTGACAGTTGCCTTGTCATCCGACCCAAAGTCATCTACAACTTCTGTTTAGCATGTGTGCTGATGATCTTAAAGGAAGTCACATCATCTATGCACTAATGTAGCCAGTCACGGATGCTGTATATTCCTCAAAATCAGTTGAAGTGTTATATGCAGCCCCCTCCCTGAACATGGTCCAGTCTGTATGCCCAAACCGGTCCTGAAGCGCTGAGATGGTTTAGCTGTTATACTAGTGCAGATGCCTCTCTTATGTTTTCGACACTTTTTCTCCCAGCTAGCAACACCATCCAAGGTGTGGTTTCACAAAGCAGCTTGAGGTTCATGTAGCACCTCCAACAGTCTATCGGATACTGCAGTTGAATTCTGTTTTCTAATGACAAGCAGGGTGTGGCAATGATATTCATGTACATGTTCACCAGTGTTTCTGATGCACATCTTTGGCAAATTTGTTTTGCAAAACTGACTACCAGAAACAAAACCACCATATGTTCAGCCCTAAAGGTGCCACCATCTTGGATAAAAAAATATCATAGCTAATTACAGTAATAATACAGTAATAAAACATGGCTATTGCTCAGTAGAAAAAATAAGAACATACTGAATACTGATGGTTATAGGAACCGAGCAGTTGCCACTGACTCATCTCTATACTGACATACAGTATATTCAACAGTCAAACAGAATGTGTTTTGTAACTTTCATTTCTTTGTGCACTTTTGTGGTCAAAGATGTTTTGTTATATTTATGTATAAACATATAATGTAACATAATCATGAATAAATTAAAATCTATTCAGGGAATAAATGATACTAAGCCCACACTAAACCTACTTAAGAAATATCCAAATTATGCTTGTTATTGTTACATTTATAAAGGGCTGGTTTCCCAGACAAAAAAACCTTAGCTGGGTGTGTAAAGATCTGGTCCTCAGCCCAGTTCACTGTATATTCTGGCAGATCATCACTCAGTATTTTTTAAATTAACCTGTAAAACGTGCAGTTACTTTACTATTTAATATAAAGATTTATACATAAACAAAACATGCAATTCAGTGTTGCTGATTAGGTGTTATGAACCATAAAAAAAAACACAAAATAAGAAAGACGCAACTCTAGCAAAACTCTAATGATTTTATTCCGACATTGGAAATTTGTTTGCGACAGTGAAATCGCTTTAAGAGTCTCGTGGTGTGAGGCCAGCATTACTCTCTGACTGTTTGCCTTCTGACTTTGTTTTGTGTCCTTTGACACCTTTTAGCTTCACCTATAGATTTGCTTCTGGTACACTTTGTAACAACTTCACCAGGTGTAAATAGAAATTGGGCTGTAATTTTGTTTTGGGGTTTGCCTCTGTTTTTGTGTCATCCAGGGTGGCAGGCTATCTATTTGTGTTTTTGTTTATTCTTTTTTGTATTGGACAAACCCAAAGTCTAACTGGTTTCTACTTCTGGGTCTGTGTACCTTCTGTTCATTTGATGTTCGTTTTAAAAACCAGTATGGGTCAATTCTCATTTCTGGTTCTGTTATTGTTAGTGGAATCAAGAAATAGCTTCGTTTTACAGTTTCACAAACTAATCATAAAATCAAATAACAAACAAACAAACAAACAGCAATGGAGTAAAGGGTCATATTCTAATCATCCAAATTTACAGGCTTGTCTTTCAGTTATAATGACCAGTAATGTTGCCTCTTGGTGAAGGAGACTCAGGAGAGACTGTCGTTCTGCTAGAGAAATGCTCTTTATTGACACCTGCAGAAAAGGCTCAAACAGGGCAGCCCGTTAGCAATGAAGGTGACCTCTGTTCCCTCCGCTTCATCGTGGACACTTAACCCAACATCCAGGTTATCACCCCTGAAAAATGTTGAATTCCCTCGTTTGATTCAGGCCATCGTAAAAAAACACACAGAAGCGAACTGAACACAGAGTCCTGAGCACAGAGACCCCCGACACAGCTCTAACACACCTCTAAAGCTCCTTTCCACCAAAAACCGGAGGCAGTGTACTCTATGAACCAACATGGATCACAGGACAGCGCACATGGCGGGAGTTGTGTTGAGTTTTAGTGCAGTTTTTATAATAGAAAAAAGTCAACAAACACATATAAAACGTTATATAGCCTACCACAATGCCAGATCTAGGCTGACCTTTTCAACACTCATACTCAATGTCCCTGTCCTCATCATTTCTTAACCGCGACAGCCTGAATTCTGAGCTCGATCATGGGTGCACTCTGCACGTTTATTGTTGGTTAATGTAAATCAGTTAAAATCAACCCTTTATTTCATTGCTGTTTGTTTGTTATTTGATTTTATGATTAGTCTGTGAAACTGTAAAATGAAGTTATTTTTTGTTTTTCGACTAACAGTAACAGAATAAAAAACGAGAACTGACCCATTTGCCATTTTTCAATACGGGATTTTGAAATGAAAATCAAATGAACAGAAGGTAAACTGACCCCTTCTTGTCCACAATTACCTTCTCACCATACTTTCAAGCATTTTTTTCTGTCTGCAAGTGCTTATCAACCACTGGTAGATGAATACTCTTTGACCTTGGTCTGTGTGACTCCCTGCACATTACACTGGCATTATTAAAATGAAATCTTTTTCCTTCTTAACATGCATATCCATATCCTTCTTAAATTATAATAAATGTTGACAAATATGCGGTACAACAACTATTTTATTACTACATGGCATTCAGTTTCATTAGAAAAAATCCTGTCTGAAATATGTATATAACAAAATACATACTTGCATACTTCTATAATGCTGAAATAGAATAGCAAAATGTCATCAAATTTGGGAATTCTGACCTGAGTATCTCCAGTTTACAGTGTGAACTCTTCAGTCCAGCAGAGAGCAGCTCTACACTTGAATCCTGTAGCTTATTGTTACTGAGGTCCAGCTCTTTCAGAGAGGAGTTTTCTGTTTGTAGAGCTGCACTCAAAGTTTTAATGGACTGTACAGAAAGGTTACATCCAGCAAATCTACAGAAAAGAAGAAATGAAAGTAAGTAAAATATTTGTTTCAGAAAATGTGTTTGAATTTGTAATTGTCTGAACAATAAAATTTAAAACTTCAATTCTTCCAGTCTTGTACTGCTCTGACTTTATTTTCTTGAATTCACTGAGCAAGAAATCCTGGACCAGCTTTGGAGTTAACCAATATAATGTAACACACATACTGTTTTTAGTGCTGCTTTCTTAAGTAGCACATATGTGTCTTCTATCTAAACCAAGTTTGATCTGTTTCTCAAAATTTTTCTTTCTTAATACTGTTAAATATTTTCCACAAGCTATATATAAACAAATACTCACAAAAAACAATACATATAAGCTGTTAAAACTCTTGTTTTTTACAGTTTCCAATGCCAAGAGAGAAGTAGAGATAGCCAAAGTCTTTTATTCATTTATGATAAAACTGGATTTCTACCCAATATAGAAAATTTTCAACATTAAAAACGAGTACAGTGTTGTCTCAAAAAGCCTAATAGAATTTTGTCTCCTCACTGTTATCAAATATTGGTTTGAAATATCAGTCAAATGTGAGTATCTGTCTGATGGCAATGCATTTTTTAATATATGTAATATTTGTATGCAATCAAATATTTTGTTTTCTACTTGTAGATTAATCAAGGATCCACAAATATGAAACCAAAGCTCCAAATAAGAAAAAAGACCCAATACTCAGACAAGTCTGGATTGTTTTCCTTTCTCTTTTTATATAGTATCTCCTTAGACCACTTAGACTAGTCTGAAATTTCATGTTGTTCATAGGTCATAACAGCAAAAATATTGGCTTAATAATGTCTATGTTAAACACTCACTTAGCCTTTCTGCAGTTTGTCATAGCTGGGATGAGTCTTCTGTAACCCTCCTCTGATGTGTTGTATTTCTTCAGGTCCAACTCTTCACGCACATATTGTGATTTAAGACACATGTAGGCTACAGCTGAGCATTGTGTAGGAGAGCGTTTCCTTTTTGAGAATTTATCTGAAATCAAAGAGAAACAGTGGTAGGCTTTCATTTGCTACTATCATTTTGTGACCAAATCTGTTTGAACGAATAAGTCTTTGTCACATGAGGAACCTGGATAAGATTTTTTTTTCTTTAATTAATATTTATCAGCTATGTACTTCTAATAACTTTGGTCAATGGTTTGTAATTTAAATAAATGCCACTAATATTGGCCAGCAATACTGAAAAACACTATTCAGTTACCTCACACAAGAACATTTTTCTCCCTGTTCTTCATCTTGTAAAGTAGAATTATTGATTCGGTTTAAACTAGTGTATTATCACAATGTACCTCTGCATAAAAATTAACCATTTAGCAGCTGTACTGCAATGTTCATCACTAGCATATCACAGCTGAAGGAAAACTAGCTTCACTGTTCATACAGTGGCATTCTGGATTCCTCAAAGGTGAAGTATATGTGTGTTGTACAGACCAGAATGCTTGATCCCTAGAGTGAGTGGGTCTGGCAGCTGTTGTACTGTGGGGTGGGGGGGGGGGGTATTTTGTTGACATAGTTTGTCCCACTTTGACCCTTACAAGGAATGGTCACTGTAAATCAAAGTTATTCTGACCAATCACCTTTATCTATAATGAAATTCTATGTTGGGCGGCACGGTGGCGCAGTGGGTAGTGCTGTCGCCTCACAGCAAGAATGGCCTGGGTTCGATTCCCGGCCGGGTGACCAGGGTCATTTCTGTGTGGAGTTTGCATGTTCTCCCCGTGTCTGCGTGGGTTTTCTCCGGGTACTCCGGTTTCCTCCCACAGTCCAAAGACATGCCGTCAGACCAATTGGACATGCTGAATTGCCCTTAGGTGTGAGTGAGTGTGTGAATGTGTATGTCTGTCTGTCTGCCCTGCGATGGACTGGCGACCTGTCCAGGGTGTATCCTGCCTTCCGCCCAATGACAGCTGGGATAGGCTCCAGCACCCCACCGCGACCCAGAAGGATAAGCGGTTTAGATGATGAATGAATGAATGAATGAATGAAATTCTATGTTGATTAGAGTGGTCTCTTCTAAGACAACAGTGCCACATACTTGTTTAAAAATTATGTTAATCACATGTTATGGTCTTTGCAGTCACCAGAGCTCTCCACCACCATCACTTAAAGGCCAGCTGAGGCAATATCTTTTGCAAGAATGGTGTTCCATCCTTCAAGTACAGGTCCAGAGACTTGTAGAATCAAGCCACTTTGAAGCTGTTCTGGGAGCTCATAGTGACCTAACACCTGATACACTGTTTTAACTTCAATTTGTGACTCGTCTGTTGTTAGCCAGAAGTCATGAAACATGTACACATTATCTTTCCTGTGCATGCATGATGATCCGATGTTCTTTTTAAAAATTAAATGTTATTACAGATAGTTATTAATATAAAACTTACCTTTCAAGATGCAAGCTGTTAAGGCACTTAATATAACAGCAAAAACAAAAAAGCAGATGATAGCAATTTTCCAGGCGTGAAAACCTTGTTCTGAAATACAAACCAAATAAAAAATTACAGCAGACATCACATTTACTTAATTTGCCCTTCTGCGATATATTAAGATTAATAACATTAAAATGAAATGACTTTGGGCTGTCACCATTAACTGTGATATGACACTGTGACAATGTCTTACATGCCAAATGCTTCCCAAATTTAAATAGTTTAAAATTTAGCTTGTAAGGAGTTGAAAAACTATAATGGTAGTTACTATACAGCTAAGTGCTACGGAGATGATTAAATATGTGATGCAAAATAGTTAATTCATAAGTAATTATAGATTAAAATTGTGCTGGCTCATACCTTTAACTTCAACATAAAGAGGTATATCAGCAAACCAGGACCTGTACCGAATTAAGCATTTGTAAGCTCCCTCATTCGAAGGTTGCACTGCTGAGAGTTTCAGTGAAGTGTTTCCTTTCTGCAGTTCTGCTTTAAATATAGCTGTCCTCCCTCTGTAAGACACCATCTGATCATCATTTCTGTCTCCATGATCTTCATAGAGATGCACTAGATTGTCAGTATCAGTCCGATCTGTTCGGATCCACTCCACCATCATGTCCTCAGCACTGATGCTGGGTATGAGAGAACAGGGCAGAACCAGATCTTCACCAGCTTCAACAACAAGAGGAGCAGCTGGGCCAACTACTTTTAAATGTACTGAAATAAAAAGGAAAACTGTAAGTCAAGAAAGTATTTAATTTTGAACAGTTTTTCCCCATTGTTTTTAGAAAAAAACAACTTTCAATGTAGCGCAAATCCCCTCTATTGCACACCATCTTTCCTGATTCATAAAGACCACCTGCTGCAAACAGCAAGAGTACCAATTTTAAAGAATGCTCTAAATCTTTGTTACACTAATCTCTGTCTGCTATCTGTATCATAAGGTCAGTTTCCATATACAGGACAGATATTGATTATAACAGAAGTGAATGTGAGGCTGGTGCAGTTACTGAATTATGTTAGTAAACATTTCTACAAAACAAGTGTTTTTGTAAATCAAGCTAAAATTATTTTAGAGATGAGACTAGTATTCCAGACTTTGGTTACCAGTGTACAGTAAATATAAAAAGTCTACACACCCTTGATAAAATGCCAGGTTTTTGTCATGTAAAAAAATCAGACCAAGGTGAATCATTTCAGATTTACTTCCACCTTCAATGTGACCCATCATCTGTACAATTCCATTGAAAAAAACTGAAATCATTTAGAGGGGAAAATAAAAATAAAGAACTAAAATAATGTGGTTGCATAAATATGCACACCCTTAAACTAATACTTTGTTGTAGTACCCTTTGACTTTATGACAGCATTCAGTCTTTTTGGGTAGGAGTCTGTTAGCATAGCACATCTCGACTTGGGAATCTTTGCCCACTCTTCCTTGCAAAAGCGCTTCAAATCTATCATATTGCGAGGGTATTTCCTGTGTACAGCCCTCTTCAGGTCTACCCACAGATTTTCAATGGGATTAAGGTCTGGGCTCTGGCTGGGCCATTCCAAAACTTTGATCTTCTGGTGAAGCCATTGTTTTGTTGATTTGGAGGCTGTTTTGGGTCATTGTTGTACTGAAAGGTGAAGTTCCTCTTTATCTTCAGCTTTTTAGCAGAGGCCTGAGGGTTTTGTGCCAAAATTGACTGATATTTGGAACTGTTCATAATTCCCACCACCTTAACTAAAGTCCCAATTCCAGCTGCAGAAAAACAGTCCCAAAGCATAATGCAGCCTCCACCATGCTTCACTGTGGGTATGGTGTTCTTTTGGTGATGCACAGTGTTGGCTTTGTGCCAAACATACCTTTTGGAATTATGGCAAAAAGGTTCAACAACCTTGGTCTCATCAGACCATGACACGTTTTCCCACATACTTTTGGCAGACTTGATGTAGGTTTTGGCAAACCATAGCCATGCTTGGATGTTTTTCTTTGTTAGAAAAGGCTTCCATCCTGCTACCCGACCCGACAGCCCAGACATATGAAAAATACGGGAGATTGTTGTCACATGCATGACACAACCAGTACTTGCCAGAAATTCCTGCAGCTCCTTTAATGTTGCTCTAGGACTCTTGGTAGCCTCCCGGACCAATTTTCTTCTTGTTTCATCAATTTTTGAGGGATGTCCAGTTCCTGGTAATGTTGCTGTTGTACCAAATTTAATCCGTTTCTTGATGTCCGTCTTCACTATGTTCCATGTTATATCTAATTTTGTACCACGGCTTTTGCTGGAAAATGAAAACTGAAAAATTTAATCCATTTCTTGATGACCGTCTTCACTGTGTTCCATGTTATATCTAATTTTGTACCACGGCTTTTGCTGGAAAACGCAACTAAGAAAATGTCAGGAAAATCCTACTAGAACAGCTGAACCTTATATGGGGTTATTCAGAACCACTTTAAATGATAGCAGCTGTGTACTGACTACTATTTAACATGAGTTTAAATGTGATTGCCTAACTCTGAACACAACCACATCCCCATTTATAAGAGGATGTTCACACTTATGCAACCACATTATTTTAGTTCTGTTATTTTTATTTTTTCCATCTAAATAATTTCAGTTTGGTTTTCAATGGAATTGTACAGATGATGGGTCATACTGAAGGTGGAAATAAATCTGAAATGATTTATCTTGGACTGATTTTTTTACATGACAAAAACCTGGCATTTTATCAAGGGTGTGTAGACTTTTTATATCCACTGTAGTTCAAATTAATTAAACAACCAGCCTAATTGTTCATAGACAGCAAATAATAAAACAAAACTTATTTTGACTCTTTTTCTCTTTCCTATTGTTTTCCAATTTAAAAGGCCACATTGCACTAAATTGCCTTAATGATAAAGAAAATTAATGATACCAAAAAACTCTTTTATTTATTGAAGTATTAAAAATGGCATTGCCCTTACCTTTAACCTGAACAAGATGAACAGTGATGTCATCATACCAGGATGCTGATTTTACTAAACACTTGTAAACTCCCTCATCAGAAGTCTGGACCACTGAGAGTTTCAGTGAGGTGTTGCCCTTCTGCAGTTCTTCTTTAAATAGAGCTGTTCTTCCTCTGTAAGACTTAATCTGGTCATAATATCTGTCTGCATGACCTTCATAGAGATGCACTAGATTGTCAGTATCAGTCCGATCTGTTCTGATCCACTCCACCATCATATCCTCAGCACTAATGTTGGGTTGGAGAGAACAGGGCAGAACCAGATCTTCACCAGCTTCAGCAACAAGAGGAGCAGCTGGGCCAACTACCTTAAAGTTTTCTGCAATGAGCAAAAAAATGGATATAATAAAATAATTATGCAGTTACATGTTTATATCACTAACACAGGACTTCACATTAGGTCTAGTCACAGTTGCATTTGCTGGGTAATTTTCCCAAAAATTACATTTTCAATAGTATTCACAGTGTTGAGGGCATCACTGACTTCCAGGGTGAATAATTTTGTGCGCAAAATTTCGTGTCGAGTTCAAATTCAATTAACTTTGACACATGCATTCTCATGTATTTTCATTCTCAATTAATTTGGCTACTTCTATTGCAGTAGTGCGTTAGGACCACTAGAGCCAAGGGACATCAAGTCCGAGTCAAGATCAAGACATCTAGTAGTCAAGATCATGTGAATATTTTGGTTCAATCATGATCGCATGATCACGTCTGCGGTAAAAGTTTGGTCAGTTTAATTAACTCAAGATGGATAATAAACCTGAGACTGCAGACAAATGATGACTATTCTCATTTTCAGTGAAGGAAATGCTTAGACTGTATGATAAAATGTGTGAAGCAGTAATGACTACTGTCATCATCACAAGGAGCTTTTTCAGGAATTAAATATATATTTTAGGATTTTGTAGGCCTATATAGAAAAAAATATTTTAAAACATAGCTGCAAACGCATATAGAAAAAGTCAGTGACACTGTTCAGCCTTACAGTGTATAGAAATGTGCTTGGAGTTCTGATGTAGGTAGCAATTAGTATTTGAAGGCCATGATCACAATATATGCTCAGAATGTCCCTCCCCAGTATAATGATATAAACTATATGTACCACCTTGGGAAATTTGAATTCAATTTTTTATTTGCTCCCTACAACTTTTCTAATGCTACAAAACTGTGTGTTATTCTCCAAGAAATGTGTTGATGTTTAGTGTTTCAATGTTGTTTTTCGATTAAAAAAAAAAAACATTTTTTGTATTTAATTTTTCAGTCATCTGCTCCTTAACTTCTGATCAGCAGAGGAGAGCGGATGATGTGAAGGGGGGGATAGCTGTGAGTAAGACGATTACCAGTGCCATGTCAGGGCCACAATGAAAAAAAGAGAGAACAAAACAAAGGGTACCCAATTTTATTTTCCCCCTTCTTTCATTCTCAGATTTTCTGGCTAAATATTCAACAGTATAAGTGTGTGGACACACAGCATCTCAGAGTGGAATATATATTTCTGTACTCTTAAAATGTAGTTAATTTTATATTTATATTTTAAGTTTTAATTAGCTCTGTATTTTTGTTTTCTATAAGGGAACAGGGTGATGTAGAGGAAGCCTAATTTAACTAAATTTGGTGACTTGCGGTGGGTTATAAGCATCTGTACATTATAATGAACTTCTATTGAACAGATAACTTTCATTTAAAGCAATAAAACCTGTTTTTTTGTTTGTTTGTTGTTGTTTTTTTCAAATTTTAAAGTGCTATAAAGTTCAGAGTGGGTACTTATTATTTCATATGCAAGTTTCACAAAACATTAGTTGGAGTTGTCATATCATAGTCACTAATTATATACATAGACACTTAATAATCCAGTCATAATCAGATTTCTGCAGTTATCTGATTAATTAATTGGTTGCGTAAACAGTACACTGTGATTTCTAAGACTGGAGTAAGTCTAGAAATCAAATTAAGAAATCTGATAAAGAGCTGGATTTTGACACAGTGATTGGATTTCACAGCGCATGTGTCCTTTTTTTGGATTTCATTCAGATTCGTCATCCTGTGCATGCATGAAAACATTTACCACAGCATCCACAGCACCAACAAAATACTTTTGGAGCGATGCTGAAACCAACTACATGCTTGAAGAAATTAAGGATATAAATGTTCATCTTCTAGATGATGTATGTTCATATTTTCTGCTGTAGTGACTCAATGTTCTTTAAAAAAAAAGTGCTGTGGCAAGAAGCATTTTAATATAAGCAGAGCAGAGTGAATAAAACCCAAGGTGACCTACAAAGCGTTTTTAGTTGAACATTGTTTAGAAATTAAAGAACTTACCTTAACCCCAGTAAAGAGATCAGGAGTTGAGGGTGTTACAAATATAAATAGTATATTCCAATATAATAATAATATTCCATTCACTAGCTTGGTGTAATGTTAGGATCTGTCAGTGTAACCATCAGTTGTTGATGGGACACTTATTATTGTTACACTGTACCACCATACCAGCACTGTACTTCAGCAGAGTCTTGATAACGTCTCTGACTTTCATGAAAAGTTAATGTTGATGTTAATACATCATTTTGCACTGGAACTGTAAATGCAGAAATAAATAATATTTTGCTAAAAAGTAGCAGTAGTTAGTAGTAGTATGAAGTGAAAACCATTTCGGTGAAAATTTGTGAGTGTTAATCAATAAGAAGTCAATAACATTAGCTATCATAGCTAAGTTAGCTGGAAAGCTAATTAGCCACACATTCACGCAGCGACCAACAGTGGTCATGTTTGTATTCAACTAACATCAACGTCTTTACATTATACGTGTTAGAAATCGAACATGAAGTCTCTGAAAAAGTGGTAATCATTGTAGTGTTGCATGTATAACGTAGATGGCAGTAGTGTTTGTTTATTACATGTTTGTAATACTCTGTGTAGCTGTACTTGCTTATGATAAATAGCATTATTAGTGTTTGATTAAAGCACAGTTTTATTTTTTTGTTATTCAGCTTTCATTCAAAGTGAGTTACCATGAACAAGAGGAACAACAAGGAAAGAAGAGATGACTGGACATTAAACTTTAGGACTGGAGGAAAGAGGGAGAAAATGAGAGGAGAGCTAAGCAGAGCAGGTGTCTCTCCTGCTGTATTTGGACAACCAAGTGTACTTGTAAGTAAATAAAACAGTTTCCTAATCTTTGGTCACAATATCTGGGCCTGTTGTCATAAACAGTGCCTAGTTTTCTGTTTATATGATTTGGTTATGGTTTACTTTATTAATTAGACATTATTTTTTATCATCTGATGTTTAAATCAGCAATTATAGAATGGAAATCGATTTTAAAGTGTGGTTGAGGCACACTGTTCAAAGCCATAATAAAATACACAATACACAAATCTGACCAAACACGTAAATTAAATTTTACATTAATGTGAAGTTGTCGCCACTTTAAGGACAGCAATTCGTTCAAGGTCATATAATGCTGATTTTACTCTGCTTCATGTTGTGGTGAAACACAATGACTCTCATGACTTATTTGTTCAGAATGTGACCAGACAGAGATAAAACAAGACATACAGCCAGGTCCATATGTATTTGGACAGTGACACAATTTTTGCGATTTTGCCTCTGTACACCACCACAATGGAATCTGCAGTCAAAATATTATTGTTATTAATTATTATTATTATTAAGTGTAGACTGTCAGCCTTTAGGAGTTTAGCAAGAATATTGTATTAACTCTTTAGGTGTTACAACCATTTTTACACCGTCCTTCCATTTCCACGGGCTCAAAAGTAATTAGAGAAGCTAATATAATTATAAATACAAGGATTATTTTTACAATCTTTGCAGTCAGTGACTGCCTGAAGTCTGGAATCCACGGATGTCACCAAATGCTGAGTTTCCTCCCTTGAGATGCCTTGCCAGGTCTTTAATGCAGTCACCTTCAGTTGCTTGTGGATCTTTGGCCTTCATTTTTTTCTTCAGTAAGTGAAAAGCATGCTCAGTTGGGTTGAGGTCAGGTGACTGACACCATTTTTAAACATTCCATTTCTTTGCCTTCTGAAGCTCTTGGAATTCTTTCACATTGTGTTTTGGGTCATTACCCATCTGTACTGTGAAGCACCATCCTCTCAGTTTTGCAACAATTGACTGAATCTGAGCAAAAGGTATCTATACACTTCAGAATTCATTCTCCTACTTCCATCAGCAGTCTGAGCATCAGTAAACACCAGTGACCCAGTTCAATTGGCAGCCATACATGCCAATGCCATAACACTACCTCCACTAGGTTTCACAGATGAAGTGGTATGCTTCAGATCATGAGCCCTTACTTTCCTTCACAATACTCTTCCTTTATCATCATTCTGGAACAAGTTCATCTTGGTTTCATCTGTCCAAAGAATCTTGTCCCAGAACTGAGCAGGCTTTTTAGATGTTTTCTAGCTTTTCAGTTCTTGAGTATTACCAGTGGTTTGCATCTTGAGGTAAACCCTCTGTCTTTACATACATGAAGGGGTCTTTTGATTGATCACAGATCACAGCATGTTAAACATCTCTGCACCTTATTACACTACCTCATGTCCAGAAATGAGTGCTGTGTCGGTGCAGCACTGTCCTGTCTGTTTACTGTGTCTAATGTATGTTTAACTTATCAAGTTTATTGTATTGTTTTTAGTTTAACTTTTTGTTTGCACACTTATGTCTGCACGTTTGCACTTTGGACTCTTTTTTCCATGTTGTACCATGTTGTTCCTGGAGTAACGTAATTTCACTCCACTGTGTACTTGTACATAGATGGAAGGACAATAAAAGCCTCTTGACTTGACTTGACTTGATCCTCTAGAATGTCCTTGACTTGACTAGATGTTGTGAAGTTGTCTTCCATGGTCTTCCAGGCCTTTTGGTGTTGCTGAGCTTGCCAGTGCATTCCTTCTTTATGAGAATGTACCAAATTGTTGATCTGGCCACTCTTAAAGATTCTCTTATCTCTCTGATAAGCTTGTTTTATTTTTTCAGCCTAATGATGGCCCCCTTCACTTCACCTCTTTGAACTGCATATTGAGAGCTCTCATGAATAGCTAACAAGTCTGAAGCAACTCCAGAACTTTTATCTCATTAGTTTATCATGAAATAATGAGGAAAGAGGACCTGCTATTCCATGAAACTGCTTATCAGTCAACAGTCCAATTAATATGAAAATGGAGGGACTATGTAAAAAATGTCTGTAATTCCTAAACAGTTAATGCAGTATATTTGTTAAACCTCAAAATCAAAATCAAAGCTGAAAGTCTACACTTCAGTCATATGTTGACTGCTGTAATTTCACTTAAGTAAAATGAGTAAATCACTCCTTTGATCTTCAAATGGTTGAGTATTTTGGACTTATATAATAATGGTACCAACTCAATACAATTAAGTAATTCTAACTTATATTTACTTCCTTTACACAATTTTGGCCTCTCGAGTTCAGCTAACTCAGTTTCTTTCATTTCAATGCATAAATGTCCTGACATGTTGTGCATATGACAAATAAACTTGAAACTTGAAACTTCTTCCATATAGTGAATGGAAGAACAATTTTGACAAGAATGCCTTAAACATTTTAACTTAGTACTTTTCTGGACCATCTCGCCCAATGCTGACAGTTCAGAACCACATTCAGCAAGTGCGGTCATAGCAGCTCAGCTTGCTCAGCACTGATCTGCAGTCAGTACTGACTGAGAGTAGATGAATTGAGAGTATTGTACATAAAGTTAACTTTATCACTTCTCTTAGTCTGATTCTCTCTGTCTATGTTTCTGTCTCCTCTGGGTCTCTCACTCACTCTCTCTCTCACACACACACACATACACACTTACCTGATGTGGTCTCCATAAAGCCAGAGAAAATCAGTATTGCCACACAAAGAAACTTCATTCCTGGAAGACATGGTTTTAAAGAATTAAGCATGTTTTTCATACTTTTACTTTTATAAAGTTGACCTTCATGGTTGTTTTAAAAGGCAGACTGTACATGTGGATACTCACTTATGTTCCTCAAACTCTCAAAAACCACCTGTTTACACAATTATCTGATAAGCCAAACACATCTTAGAGAGTTTATAGATACTTTTCTATAACACACACTCTCAACATACTCTCAGAGAGGTTCATTACAGGCAAGTCATCACCAGCAATCCAGTTCAGGCTTTTAAACTCAGAAACTCTTATAAACTTTCTACATGTATCTGGAAGAGCTCCGAAGGAATGATCTGAAGGAATGGACAGTATTGCTGCATCACTGAGGTTTAAGGGTTAATAAAGTCCTTATCTCAAAAGCCAGACTTTTAACCGTCTTTGGAGAGACTGGTACATTTCATATCTGAACATGTCCAAGAACCGCCTTCTTTGATAGGAAAGGGTCATTTCACTGACATGCAACAAAACCAACCACAGAATGTTGTTTTGTGTTTTGTGAAAGGGCAAGCAATTTTATGCTTTGTTTGATGTTAGATGTGTGTTTGGCTACACAGTCATGTGTATATAGAGTACATGAGGGGGCTAAGTACACATCCCTGGGGAGCCCCTGTGCCCAGAGTCAGTGTGGAAGAGAAGCTGTTTCCTACTTTCACCACCTGGGTTCTTCTTGTCAGGAAGTCCAGTATCCAGTTGTAGAGATGAGAGTTTAGACGCAAATTTATGAGCTTAGAAATGAGTTTGTCAGGGATGATCGTGGTGAATGCTGAGCTGTAATCTATGAACATCATTCTTACGTATGTGTTCTTTCTGTCCAGGTGTGTGAGGGCAGTGTGTATTGTTAATGCAATGTCATCGTCTGTAGATCTGTTGGAGTATGCAAATTGGTGAGTGTCCATGGCGGCTGGAAGTGTTGAACAGATGCAAGCTTTGACCAGCCGCTCGAAGCACTTCATAACTGTTGATGTCAGTGCAACAGGGCAGCAGTCATTCAGGCAGGCGATAGCTGTTTTTTTGGGGACTGGACCAATTATGGTTTCATTAAAGCACGTGGGAATCACTGACAGTCTTAGGGAGAGGTTAAAGATAGCCGTGAAAACCTCAGCCAGCTGGTTGGCACATACTCTAAGCACTCAGGACCAGGTGCCTTGCATGGGTTAACTGCCTTGACGGATCTCACCACCTCAGACAAGGGAATGGTTAGAGTGCAGCTCTCCTGATCTACTGGGAGTTTTTCAGAAGGGGAGGTGTTATTTGCCTCAAAACAAGCTTAATGTGCAGTTAGCTCATCTGCAAGTGAGATGGACGAGCCCCTATCACAGATCATACCTCCTTTGTAGTCAGCAATAGTGCACAGTCCACTCCACATATGTCTGACATCAGAGGCGAGGTAGTTAGATTCCACTCTGTCCCATTAGTTCCTTTTGGCCAGCATCATGGTCCTCAGAAGGTCATATCTGGCCTTCTTGTAGCTAGTCAATTCACCAGAGTTGTAGGCAGCGGCTCAAGCTCTTAGTATGGTTTGAACCTCAGCATTGATCCAGGGTTTCTGGTTGGGAAATGTTCTGACATTGATTTTTGGTACAATGTCATCGGTTAATTTCCTGTAGCTTGTGATGGAGTCAGTGTATTCACTGATGTCAGTGCCAGCTGCATCACGGAACATCTTCCAGTTTGTAGATTCAAAGCAGTCCTGAAGTGTGAAGATGGCCTCCTCACTCCATTGATAGACTGATCTGAGAACTGGTTTTGCCTGTTTAAGTCTTTGTCGGCATGCGGACAGGCGAAGAATGGAGGTGTGATCAGCTTTGCCAAAGGCAGGTTTGTAACTGTCCTTGAGTGCAGTGTAGCAGTGGTCAAGAGCCTGTTCTCCTCAGGTGGGAAATTTTATATGCTGATAGTATTTGGGCAGAACCTTCTTCAGGTTTGCCCTGTTAAAATCCCCAACCAGAACAAAAACATCTTCAAGGTGTTCTCAAGTCCATTAATGGTATTGTACAAAACATCCAATGCATGTGACTTATCTGCCTGAGGAGGGATGTAGACCATAGTGAAGATGACTGAGCTGAGGTCTCTGCGCAGAAAAAAAACCCACTAGAACCACTACATCTGGCCCCCATCGAGAGTTCACCGTAACACATACCCCGCTGCCTCTGCCCTTCCAGAGTTCTGTCCTGAAGGTAGGTGGAGAAGAGGGCCGGTGAGATGCCTTTGTTTGGTATTGCCGTGGACAGCCACATCTCTGTGAGCGCTTGATCTGTGTGTTCAGCTCATCTACAACCCCATTTCCAAAAAAGCTGGGATGCTGAGCAGAATGTAAATAAAAATAGAATGCAATTATATGCAAATCATGAAATCCCTATATATTTAAATGAAAATACTGTAAAGACAACATATCAAATGTTGAAACTGAGAAATGTTAATGTTTTTTGAAAAATATGTGTCCATTTTGGATTTGATGCCAACAACACATTCTAAAAAAGCTAGGACGGGGCATGTTTACCACTGTGTTTCATCACCTCTTCTTTTAACAAACTCTGTAAGTGTTTGGGAACTGAGGAGACCAGTTGCTGTAGTTTTGAAAGAGATATATTTTCCCATTCTGGCTTAACATAGGATTTCTGCTGCTCAACAGTTCGGGGTCTCCTTTGTCGTTTTTTTCATTTCGTAATGCGTCAAATATTTTCAGTCGGTGACAGGTCTGGACTACAGGCAGGCCAGTTTAGCACCTGGACTCGTTTAAAACGGAGCAATGCTGTTGTAATACATGCAGAATGTGGTTTGGCATTGTCTTACTGAAATAAGCAAGGCCTTCCCTGAAAAAGACGTTGTCTGGATAGCAGCATATTTGGTCAAAACATGTATATATTGTTCCGTATTAATGATGGCTTCACAGATGTGCATGTCACCCATGCGATATGCACTATTCCCCCACATATCATCATGTATACTGGCTTTTGAACTGTGCACTGATTACAAGCTGAGTGGTCTTTAGACTGGAGGACACAGTGTCCATGATTTCCAAAAAGAATTTTAAATTTTGATTTGTTGGACCACAGGACACTTTTCCACTTCACCTCAATCAATCTTAAATAAGCTCAGGCCCAAAGAAGGTGGCAGTGTTTCTGGATCCTGATTATATATGATTTCTTCTTTGAGTTTTAATTTGCATTTGTGGATGCAGTGACGAATTGTGTTCACAGACAGTGGTTTTCGTAAGTGTTCCTGAGCTTATGCAGTGATTTCCTTTACAGAAATTCCTTTACAGTCTGTTTTTTATGCAATGCCGCCTGATGGCCTGAATATCATGGCCAGCAAATACAGGTTTTCGGCCTTGTGCCTTGCATACAGAGATTTCTCTGGATTCTCTGAATCTTTTAACGTTATTATGTACTGTTGATGATGAAAAGCAAAAGTTCTACTAGTCTTTTTACCAGACTTTTGTTGCCCCTGTTCCAACTTTTTTGGAACGTGTTGTTGGCATCAAATTCAAAATGGGCATATATTTTTAGAAAAACAATAATTTACAACATTACAACTTAAACATTTTGCATTTTGTTTTTATTTACATTTTGCACTGCGTCCCAACTTTTTTGGAAATGGGGTTGTATTTTGTTCTCCAGCGATTGAACATTTGCAAGCAGAATAATAGGAAGCGGAGGGTTGAAGCACCTTTTCCTAATCCTGCATAATATCCCGGCACATCTGCCCCTCTTGCACGTCTTCACAAATAGGACAACATAACACAAAAAACTGTAGAATTTACCCTGAACTCTCACCATTGCGGCCTTTCTACAGTGCACTGGAACTGAAACCAATCTACCTTCTCAAGCTAAACTGGAGCAGGACGTTTCAGAGTGAGAAGCTTTTACTTTTTTAGCTCTCTGTGGGTAGTGTGAGGGCGAGGCAAGCTTGCCAGTAGGCGGGCAATAAGGATTGTGCTGCGAGATTTCGCTACCTTGTAACAGAGAAAAGGGCTGGAATTCCTACAAGGTCTCTAAAGGAAAGACAAAAACCAGAAAAGCAAAATAGATTCCCTTTAAAAGAGTGTACTGAGCTTGACTGTCTAATAAAAGGTCAAACTGAGTTCCAAGGTTTAGGAACAGAATAACAGAAAAAGTCTCTCCACATTTTCTGTATTTTACACAAAGTATGTGCAGAAGGCAAATCTAAGATCACATGTTGAAATGTAAACAGACAATACACAGGTATGCAAGTGTTTAGGACATTTAGATCTTTAAAAACTAGTTAAATAACTTCAAAAGAACTTTAGAAAGTGGAGTACGTTCAAAACTTGGTTTACATAAGCTCTCTTTTTGTTTCTGTAAAGATCTGCCCTGTTGCACTCTGTACTTTGTACAAGTTGTAGAGGATGCATAGTTTTTCCTGTTTTGTTTCTAATATTCTGTTCATACATGAAGAGAAATAATGCATTACTATATTGATAGTATTAAGAATTGGAAATTGTGTGTACATGTTTCAGGGAGTGGTTATATTGTTCATAGTTCAGCTCAGGTCCATTACAGAAAATGCACATTTCATCTCCATCTACATTTTATCAGACAAAAACATGAGAGAGATTGAGAGAGAGAGAGATTGAGAGAGAGAGAGAGAGAGAGAGAGAGAGAGAGAGAGAGAGAGACTTTTTTTGACTTTTGAGGGTCCTTTATTGAACCAGCACTTTCTTTAAAACAGTCATCCATCACAAAGTGTCATCTTAGGCTATATTAAAATAAATTAATTGATTAAATAAAAATAAGACAAACACTTTATAAATAGATAAAAACAGGAAAACAAATAAAACTCAGTCCGGCTCATCTGAGCTCAGGAAGCAGAGCTCACCCTCGCACACGGAGCACACGGCCCCACCACAGCACCACATCGCCTCAAAGGCCTCCACATCACACATGCTTTTATAATAATTAAAATCAATTAAAATCCTTGATCTCACCAGCCTAGAGAGA